AAAAAATGAAAGATTGTTATTAAGATAAACAAATACAACGGACAGGACGGGGGGGGAGGGGGGGGGGGGGGGGGGCCTGTGGGTCCTCAAGAGGTATTGAAAAAAATATCAGTTTGCGATTAAAAGTAATAACTAATTTTATAGGAATTTATTTTTCAAGTTTTTCATACGTTTTGATAGTTTTTGTCTCCCTAAGATACCTCCGATCCCCATGACATCCTCTATGGTAACTTGTATTCAAGTTTGCAGCTTTTACACTTTAGACTGTACAGTAATGGACACTGAAAGTAGTGAAAAATCTTGCATGAAATCTTCAAAAAAGGATATATTTATATAAGATGAGTAAGCTTTATTTATTAACTACTATTAACATTTCTGTTTTTTATAGTGGTGATGACACATGACATAGGGACGAATTATTAATGATTATATATCAAGAAATCAAGAAAAATTTATATTTACTTGTATAACATTAAGTTGAGTTTAATTGCCTGAATTTATATGGGGCTTTTGCAAGACTCTTCATGAAGTGCTGCTATCTAGTGTGTTAGATGCTTGATTTGGGCTACTGTCGGTAACTGTTGACGGTTGTTGTCCTGAGAGTAACTGAGCTGCATTTGTTGTCCGAGTCTACAAAAGGAAGTGGGTATGGATGGAAGTTCATCCATACCCACACCTTGCTAGCTATTTTCATTGTCGAGTTTTTGGCTTTACATTTGCCTCCTCTTCAATTCTGACGAAGACATTCGTGAACAAAAGATTTTCTTTACAGAAATAAGATCCAAAATTGTAGCTTTTAGAGCTTCTAAGTTCGTAGCATAGATGTCGATTGTGGCAGCACCATTGCTGCAGCAGTTCGCTATTCAGTTGCGATTGGTATCTCTGATTAATACAAAATGTAGATCTACTATTCATTAAATAAAATAGATGAAGATTGTGAAGGAAAAGCAGATATGTACCATATTTTCACAATAGATTCCAATATCGCGACTAAATTTGACACAGTTTGTAAGAAAATTTTGATTATCTTGTTCTTTGGAAAGAATATTATGAGTTGCAACATGTAGAATTTCATTTGAAGTTTTTTTTTCGTATGGACAACGTAAACTAATTCTACTGTCAGGTAGTTATAATAGTTATTTGATTATCTTATCCATATGAAAAATACTTTGAATAAACTTCTACCGCCAACTCCAAAAATCAGCTTATTTAATTGAGTCAAAGCGGAAATATTTCATTTTTTTTATTGTAGTGCTATTTATGACCCGTCATGTAGTGTCCTGCGGAAATGATATTAACTATGGATGTTCCCAAAAATTGTTTTGCTTTGTTTTTATATATAATAAGCATTGCAAAAGTCTTTGAAAAAATGTCGAATATCAGATTGATCTGAACATTTGTTTTTCTTTTGAAATAACCAAATCTAGAGAATGAAACAGGTCAACATAGTTAAATTTTGTTTTTTTTCGTTTCATTATGATGAAAGTCAACTTCACGATTTTGCTGATCTCAAACTTTGATTTAAATTTATCCACAAATTGAGCTTTTCAATCCTTCTCTTTCTATCTATTATGTTCTCTTCACTGCAATATCAGTTTGGTAAAAAGTGTAAAAGAGAAAAAAAAAACAGTGAATTCACAAGAGTCCTAAAATATCTTTTTCATGAAAATTTTTCGAAATTTATGTCTTCATTAGTAGGATTTCAAACAAAAAAAACCATTGAAGTCAATCTAATCGTTTATTAATCAACAGAAAATTAGGTAATATCGCTTTTCATAACTATTATTTTGTTTCTCATCATACAGCGGACAACAACGTGGACATTAAGTGAAAAAATGAAAGTGATATTTTTCATAACTTGAGTAATGTCTGGCCAATGACCCATTTTTTTTTGGTTTGAAGGAATTATTCGAAGTAAAACTCATGCTTTATCATTCTGTATGAAAAATTTTCTTCTAACAGTTCCTCTGTTAGAAAAAATATATATGATTTCTCAACTAAGGGTTTCCCAAACAGACGTGTTGAAGTATACTCACTCAGCATAAAGTATAAAAAAAAAAGGCTTCAGGAAAAAATAAGTAAACATGCATCGAATGACGTGTCGCTTGTTAATAATAAAATTCAAAAAATTCTGATAAACGTTTATGGTAAGAAGTTCCCATTAGATATTGTCCATTGAAGATATGGATTTTAATGAATTTCATCTTTTCCCATTCTATGAAAAACGATGATGTTTTTGATAGAAATTATTCACAGTACATTATTGCATGTTAAAGGATCATTACTTAAATTATTTCCCAATATAACATAATTCATTATCTTCTCGTCTAGAATGTTTTCGTGTTGTTGATGTGCTACATAGATTAATTTCTCTGACTAATTAGTGAAGAAAAGAATTTTCTTAATTTAACATTGAGGAATTTTGATGAAAAAAATAATAGATTTAATTTATTTATTTTACTAAAATATAAGATCACTTCACATTGTACAAAATACAACGTCGACAGAACTTAGTATTTGGCAATCAGATTTTTTTCTCACAATACAAAAAAAATGAAATCATCATAAGAATTCTGAAAGAATTACAAGAATGGGAATCGAGAAAAATGGTTTCTACAAGACATTAATAATAATACTCAACATAATGAGTAATAAATATATACTTTATAAACTTTGTCACTATTGCTTTCGTTTTTTTTTTCATGTAAAGAAATAAGCTAATATTGATTTGAACTCAGATTCATAAGACTATGCAACGCTTTCTTTTAGTCATAAAATGTAAAATTCAACAATTTTTTTTTTTATTCAGAATATTACTAATTATACGCATGAGTAACACCAAACATTCTCATTGGTCTGTTTTCAACAAACAAGCATAAGCTAGGTTAATTTCAAATTGTTCGATAGCGGGCAAATACTAAAAAAAGAACGTTAATATGACATACTTTTCAACATAAAAAATAGATGTAAGAAAAGATGTATTTAGAAATAACAAAGAACAGAAAAAAAATCTACTTATTACTTATATTTTATTTAAACACAACAAATAATATGCAATCAAACCGATTGACTCATTGACAGAAAAAAAAAAAAGTAACGATATAATTATATACAATTTTGTTTTTTCTTGTATCCAGGTAAATTAATACACGTAAAATACATATAATAAATATTCATAAATGTTTAATACATTTGCAACTTTAATAAAAAGAAAGAAAAGCAAAAAGCAAAAGACATAAATGACTCGACGAGAAAGTGAACTGGAATCTTTTCATGTTGATACAAATAAACATATGTTACATGTAAATAGAAGAAAAAAAAAAAAAAAAAAGAAACTTATTGTTTGTTTGTTTTTTTTTCCAAAATCTATTTTAATATATATTCGTAGGTAGAACCAGTTAATATTCATACAAGTTTATCATCTTTATCCACGACAGATATTTCTCTTGATAGTATATTACGAAAATGTGGCGATTTTGGTCGATTTCAAATAATACATTATTTTTTCTTAATTATCATGACAATGTGTGCTTCAATTGTTTCTTTTTATTATGTTTTTGGTGCTGCTAAACCTGATCATCGATGTCGTTTACCAATAAATGTATGGCCAGATGATACACAATATAGTCCAATAAATAAAACACATGAAATTTATATTAATAATTATATTCCAAAAACTAATGATGAAAAAAAATGGGAAAAATGTGTACGTTATATGACAAGTAATATGAATGATACACTTATCAATTGTCCAAATGGTTGGGTATATGATCGATCAGTTTTTGGATATACATTTACTGAGGAAGCTAATTTTGTTTGTCAAAATGAATCAAAAAGAAGTTGGATAGCTACTACTGTACAATGTAGTAGTTTTTTATTACTTATCATTGGTTCATTGGCTGATAAATATGGTCGAAAAAAAATGATTGTTATTGTCACTATAATTCTATTTTTTACAAGTCTCATTACTCAAATAATAATGCAATGCATACCAATGACAATAAAAGCTAAGTAATTTAGTTTAAAATTACTTCACAAAAAAATAAAATAAACAATGAATTTCTTTTTTCGGCTAGATTCATTGTTTTATTACTCAATCAATTTGCATCCGGTCTTGCACTTTCTACTTATAGTTTAATATTTATTTTAGCACTTGAATTAACATCAGTAGCGCATACAGGTTTAGCTGGAAATTTAATATTTATTTCATCTACAATTGGTGAAGCTACTGTTGCTCTATTTGCATTTATAACACATGATTGGCAAAAATTAAAATGGGCTAATACAGCTTTTATTAGTTTAGGAATACCTTATCTTTATTTTATGCCTGAATCGCCATTGTATATCTATGCTAAAGGACAATATGTTTCACTTGAATACAGTTTAAGACGTATAGCAACTCAAAATGGACGAAAAGAAACCGATTGGTATTCATGTTATCAAGAATTCTTACGTAGTCAACCGATAAAATTTACACATGAAAAAGAATTAACATCTAAAAAATCTCATCAATTACTTATCAATCGAACAACTATAGTTAAATTATTTTTAACAGCTATTATAGGTTTTACAACGTTTATGGTTTACATTAAGATAAGTTTTGGTCTAGCTATGATGGATACTTCACCATATTTAGGAATATTAATTGGTGCTATTGTTGAAGCAATTAGTTATATAACAAGTTCTTTACTTATTTCTAGTAGACTTGGTCGTAAAGGTTCATTTATTTTGATGATGAGTCTTACAATTATTTGTATTACTTTTATTCCAATTATTGTAAAATATAGTTCGATTGCAAGGCTTGGTCTCGCTCAACTTGGAAAATATACAATATCTAGTACAACTGCAATAGCATGGATATTTGTACCAGAACTTTTTCCAACTTCAATTCGAAGTACGGCTAATGGAGTTTTTATTGTATCTAGTCGTATTGGTGCTATAGTAGCACCAATAATTTATACGACTATAAATAAAAATTATTTACCATATACATTTTATGCAACAGCATTTTTAGCATTTATTGTTCTTTTGTTTTCACTAATGTTACCCGAAACAAAAGATAAACCAATGGATGATGTAACAGATTATACTACAAGTTTAACTGATATTTAATAATAATCTCTTATATCTAGGTTTTTGTTTTTCTTCTTTTCTTCTACATAAAAGTTTTCACTCATACATAATAAAAGAAAGAAAGAAAAAAAAAGCACACATATACGCTGTTCTTGTTTCACATATGGTCAGAAAGAGGAAAAAAGAAACTAAACAAATGTTATACTACATCCATCAGTATAGATGTAGTTGAGAGAGAGAAAGAGAGAGCGCAAAGAACAGAAAGAAAACAGACAAAAAACAAACACAAATAAACGATCTGACTAAAAGACCACAAAAGACACACCGAGATCCAATTCACCGTTTTTCTTCTTTTCTTTTTTAAAATATATAAGACACGAGAAAAAAACTTTCTTTTTTTTTCAAAACAAACACACACACACACATATAAAAAGAAACTAAAGAGCAACAATATGAAGACACTGTTTGTTCAGATACTTTTTTGTTTTATCAAAACTAATCATTGCCCAATAGTTTGAAAACAAGAAAGAAAAAAGAAAAATATATATGTATGTATATATAACCAAAAACGAAAGAAAAAACAAACAAACAAATGTACATAAAAATTTGAAAGAGATAAAATGTTGTATTCACTTATTTCAATCAATATGTCGACTTCGTTTTGTAGTTGTCCATGACGTCATGTTATTATTAGTTCGACGATGACTATTACGATGAGCACGACATGCTCGGTCAGTAGTAAATGTCTTGAAAATAAAAAAAAAAAACAAACAACATTAATACTTAACACATTTCGATATTATTATTATCTTACTTGTGAACATTCATCAATATCACAGGAAAATTGAGCTGCAGGAGAACTATCACTATTCACTGTTGAACCACCATCATCATCCTAAACAAAAAACTGTTAGCACAATTCTCGCAGGATTAAAATATGAAACACGATGTAGTTCTATTTATTTTCGTACATATTTCTTGTCATGCTTTTACTTAGTCTTTCAGAAATATAATAATAAACAAGTAGTTCATATATTATAACAAAAGATTATTAATGTAAGAATATTTCAGCAGTTTGTTTTAGATCGTGTTTCATAAAATATAAAAGTTTAATTATCAAATATAAGAACATACCAAGCGAAATTCATTAAATGATGACGATGATGAAATTTCATCATCAAATTGTTGTTTTGCTTTAATTATTTGATATCGTTTTCGTCTAGTCATTACACAACTTGTTCTTGCTGATACTATTTTTCGAGCAGTTTTACTGATTTTTGGCATATAATGAAATTCAATACATTGTTTTATACTTTTTGTTCCAACCTTTAAATAATAAAAAAAAAAAGAAGTCAATGTAAAATATATTTATTCTTAATTCGAGGAAAAAAAAACTGAAATAACATACTGCTCGACTAATAGATTGAAAATTTTTTTCTGATGTTTGCATTGCTTTTGTAAAAGCATCAATTTCTTCTTTTGTCCATTTATCACAGTCAAGAAAATGATAAGAATGCAATGGTCGACATTGTTTTATATCGTTAACTGTACCTTCAAGTAAAGCAGCTAATGTACGTGGTAAATCACCATTATATTCATGTAATAACATATATATTAATTCAAGTGAATATGATTTTGGTGATTGACGTGGTGAAAATAAAAATGGATTCATTCGATTTAATTGTTCAAATTTTTCAAGAGATTTTTCATCAAGATATGATAATTCTGATGATGAAAATAATAATTCATCAGTAATTACTACAAAAGAAGAAAAATAATATTGACTATGAGCAATATAAATTTTACAAAAACATATTCATATTAACTAATCTTAAAACTTCTCCTGATGTTTTTGTTTTTATTGCAACAATTTAGACTATCGAATGCCGGTCAACTTCATAGTATGGTTATGAGTATATCGCTATGAGACAGTGACATATCCAGGATTTTTCAGTATGCTGAATCTTGACTTTTGAGCATGGGACCCAAATGAAACTCATAGAGGGTGATGTTGAGTTCAAATGATGGAATTTTATCAAAAAAAATTTGCACTCGGAGTTTGCGAAAAAAATTAGCATTTTCCTGATCCGCCCTCCTAGGATTTTTTACTGTTAGTATTATCTTGGATTTTAGAATTTCATAGGAAGCTATACCGAATTTCATCGACAGATTTTAAATTTCGTCTAAAAATGTGCAACCGTTCAAGAGTTA